TACAATTGCACCAAAAGGAATAAAATATCTAGGAATAAACTTAACCAAGAAGATAAAAAAACTTATACTCTGAAAACTATAAGACACTCATGAAAGGGGCACCTGGGCGCCTCAGTCAGTTAAGTGTCCAACTTTTGATCTCAGCTAAGGTCTTGATCTCAGGGCTGTGCATTCAGGCCCCACAGTGGGCTCCATGTTGGGTGTGGGGCCTACTTAAAATGAAAAATAAAAAAGAAAACCGTAGCTGGGAGCATCACAATGCCAGATTTCAGGTTGTACTACAAAGCTGTGGTCATCAAGACAGTGTGGTACTGGCACAAAAACAGACACATAGATCAATGGAACAGAATAGAGAATCCAGAAGTGGACCCTCAACTTTATGGTCAACTAATATTTGATAAAGGAGGAAAGACTATCCACTGGAAAAGACAGTCCCTTCAATAAATGGTGCTGGGAAAACTGGACATCCACATGCAGAAGAATGAAACTAGACCACTCCCTTGCACCATACACAAAGATAAACTCAAAATGGATGAAAGATCTAAATGTGAGACAAGATTCCATCAAAATCCTAGAGGAGAACTCAGGCAACACCCTTTTTGAACTCGGCCACAGTAACTTCTTGCAAGATTCATCCACGAAGGCAAAAGAAACAAAAGCAAAAACGAACTATTAGGACTTCATCAAGATAAGAAGCTTTTGCACAGCAAAGGATACAGTCAACAAAACTAAAAGACAACCTACAGAATGGGAGAAGATATTTGCAAATGACCTATCAGATAAAGGGCTAGTCTCCAAGATCTATAAAGAACTTATTAAACTCAACACCAAAGAAACAAACAATCCAATCATGAAATGGGCAAAAGACATGAACAGAAATCTCAGAGGAAGACATAGCCAACATGCACATGAGAAAATGCTCCGCATCACTTGCCACCAGGGAAATACAAATCAAAACCACAATGAGATCCCACCTCACACCAGTGAGAATGGGGAAAACTAACAAGGCAGGAAACCAAAATGTTGGAGAGGATGCGGAGAAAAGGGAACCCTCTTACACTGTTGGTGGGAATGTGAACTGGTGCAGCCACTCTGGAAAACTGTGTGGAGGTTCCTCAAAGAGTTAAAAATAGACCTGCCCTATGACCCAGCAATTGCACTGCTGGGGATTTACCCCAAAGATACAGATGCAGTGAAACGCCGGGACACCTGCACCCCGATGTTTCTAGCAGCCATGTCCACAATAGCCAAACTGTGGAAGGAGCCTCGGTGTCCATCAACAGATGATGGATAAAGAAGATGTGGTTTATGTATACAATGGAATATTCCTCAGCCATTAAAATGACAAATACCCACCATTTGCTTCATCGTGGATGGAACTGGAGGGTATTATGCTGAGTGAAATGAGTCAATTGGAGAACGACAAACATTATATGGTCTCATTCATTTGGGGAATATAAATAATAGTGAAAGGGAATAGAAGGAAAGTGAGAAGAAATGGGTAGGAAATATCAGAAAGGGAGACAGAACATAAAGACTCCTAACTCTGGGAAATGAACTAGGGGTGGTGGAAGGGGAAGAGGGCTGGGGTAGGGGTGAATGGGTGACGGGCACTGAGGGGGCACTTGACGAGATGAGCACTGGGTGTTATTCTGTATGTTGGCAAATTGAACACCAATAAAAAATAAATTATTAAAAAAAAGTTGCTTCTAGTTTTCAATATTACAAACAATACTGCAGTCAACAGCTTATTCTTATGTGTATGTGTTAGCACCTCTAGAGTAGGATGTCTCTATTTTTGACTATGACCCACAGTAAGAAATACATTTTCTTTATGACCCTATATAGGCATACATATTTCTCTATGTATATGTATAAACTGAAACCCTTATCATGTATGATATACTTGGGCATTTTTTAAAAAGATTTTATTGGTTTTATTTTTTTAAAATTTGAGAGCAAGTGCGTGCATGAGCAAGAGGTGCAGAGGGAGAGGGAGAGAGAATTTCCAGCAGATCCTGTGCTGAGCATGCAGCCGAATGCAGGGCTTGATCCATGACCCCAAGATCAAGACCTGAGCTGATACCAAGAATCAGACACTTGACTGTGCCAACCAGGCACCCCTGAAGATTTTAAGTAATTTCTATACCAAATATGGGGCTCAAACTTAACCCTGAGATTAAGATTCACATGCTCTACTAAGTGAGCCAGTCAGGTGCCCCGTGGGTATTTTACTCTTTATTTTTAAAATTCTAGTTACAACCACTTTAATGATTTTACATCCCATTAAATCTGTAGCTTGGAAAACCATGCTCTACATATACTTAAAAGCAGGGCACTTGGGTGGCTCAGTAGTTGAGCATCTGCCTTTGGCTCAGGTCGTGATCCCAGGGTCCTGGGATCAAGGCCTGCATCACCTGGGTTTCCTGCAGGGAGCCTGCTTCTCTCTGCCTGTGGTCTCTGCCTGTATCTCTCAGGAATAAATAAATAAATAATCTTTAAATAAATAAATAAAGTTAAAAGTACTATTGCTACAAAGTACGTATGAATGTCCTCAATTGCTATGTAATTGTTTGAATTTGTCAAATGACTGGTCTGGCCTGGTATAGAATTCCAGTTTTACATTTATTTTCCTTCAACATTTTAAGCTAATATGTTTCTTTTGTCTTATTTCTGATGAGAACTGTGTCGTTAATCTTTTTTCTGATAATGTTTGAGATTTATTCTCTACCTTAGATACTTTTTAAATTTTTAGCTATTAGTTCTTTGACTATTGCTCTTCTCTCCTCAGATACATTCTGGTGTTTCTCATTTTATCTTCTATAGTTTTTAACCTACAAATTATTTTCTCCATGTGTTTATCTCTTTTCATTCTGGAAGATCTCTTTCATTTTGCCTTGCAATTGACTAATACTGTTTCCAGCTGTATGAACTCTACCATTAAGTTCACCTATTTAATTTTTATTTCAATCACACAGGTTTTATTTCCCATGTTTCCAAATGTTTTTTTTTTCATATATACACCCCCTCCCCCCAATATCCTTTTCTTATTTCATGGATGCTAATATCTTAATCTCTCTGAGCATTTTAAACATATCTATTTTAAAGTCTCTTTTTGGGGCATCCGGGTGCCTGGGTCAGTTGAGTGTCTGACTCTTGAATTCAGCTTGTGTCAGGCTCCGCACTCAGTTCAGAGTCTGTTTGTCCTTCTCCTGCTCCTCCAGGCCCTCCCCTATGCTCTCTCTTCAATCAATCAATCAATCAATCAATCAATCAATCTTTTAAAAAGATAAAGGCTCTTAATCAGATTCTGTATTTATCTATGATTCTTCAGGTGTGAATTCTCCCATTTATTAGGACTCATGCTGTCTTCATGGCTCCTAAACATTTTTGTTTGCTTTGACTGACATCATACCTTTCTGTGGGGTTTACTCCTGGGTGCTCCTTTATGTCGACTCTTTTCCTTATCGCTCTGGCTGTGACTATGAGTTTCACTGCTCTAAAACAAGTTGTTAATCCCATTCCAGGCTGTGTGAGATAATTAGCCTACTTCTCAGTCCTGTAGAGGTCCTGGTTTCTATTCTCTAGAGAACTCAGTGCCTACTCTCTACTTTGCATGGGACATGTTTAATTCTCATTCCTCTAAGAGTTAAAATCCCTAGCCACAGTGCCTGTATTCATTTCCAGATCCTAGTGGGTTTCAGCTTTTGCTTTTGTGATTTCTCTTATAATTTCTGACCAACAGATGAAATATGTATATTGGTGGTATATATTACATAAAGGTTAGTGCCTACAGTGTTAAAGTAAAAATCATATATAGTTGGGGTCCCTGAGTGTTTCAGTGGGCTAAGCATCTGACTCTTGATTTTGGTTCTAACCCTAAGTTTTCGATCTTAGGGTCATGAGATTGAGCCCAGCACTGGGTTCCATGCAGGATGCGGAGACTGCTTGAGATTCTTTCTCTCTCTCCCTCTCAAAAAAAAAAAAAAAAAAAAAAAATCATATATATTCAAGATTCAAAAAAAAAAAAAAATCTTATAAATTGACCATTAAGCAAACATTGTCCATTTTTTTCTCCAGCACTGACAGACTAGATAGACTCTGCCACATGTAAATTATATATAGACATAATGTCAAAAAAAAAAAAAATCCAAACCTTTATTTTCAAAGAGAAAAAACCTGACACTGTGAGAGATTTCCTCTATGACAGGCCTAAAAGAACTGAGCCAAATTAACATAACAATAGATTTATCTCCTCTCATACTTCAACGGAGAAGATGGTGAAACTATTTAAATTATTTCTTTCTTTCTTTTTCCTTTGCCTAGTACAGGTAGATAAATTTACACTAAATTAAATGTATATAACGCAAAAATCCACTCTACATATGCCTACCTACAAGTATATATATCTTATATATCCTTAAAATTTTTAAATTCTTAATGTATTAGAACAAGTTTTTTTTAATGGAATGTCAACATTATGAGAATATGAATTATAAGCACCTTTAACTTTATAAAGAAGTAGCAAGGAAAATTTATAGAAAACAAGACATATAACATAATGGTAAAAAACACGGATTCAAACCCTGACTCTTCAATTTGTCTGCCCTGTGACCTTAAAATTGGCTTCTTGGCTTCCTCATTTCACAACACAGAAGTAATATTACCGACCTCATGGGGGGGGGGTTTGTGAGGATTAAATTTAAAAAGTGTACATAAAGCACATGTTACAATGTCTGGTACTGTTACATGACACTAGCTGGACTTGTTGCTATTGTGATACTAGATTAAAGGAAATACTCATCTTCAGAAGAAATAATTTTCAAATCATTATAATATTTGGGAAAGATTTTCCTTTCTATTGCTAGTGAGAGAGTATATCTTTCCATTGTTGATTTTTGGTGAACAGAGTTTAGACAGACAAATTGATACATAGCAGGACTTCCTGACAAGAACCCTTATGTTCAGAAGATTTTTTAAATGCCATATTTTCTACTCACATGTCTATGCAGCCCTCAGAACAGTCACATGAATCAGTAAACATGTTGGAAAAGCTGGTTAGATAATATGCACGTGGCCACATAGTCCTTTTGTACTTAAAATATGGAAGCTTTCTATTGTCAATTTCATTACAGAAAGAAATGGGTACCGATTCTACTCCATTGCTTATATCCACATCAGAAACAATTTCTTCTTGTTTTGGGTAATTCCGAGTCAACTGAACATAGGTATTGAAAGAAAAATTATCTGTAAATAAATAGTTACACTCTGTCTCAAGCAGGTAACGAAAAACTTCTTCCACGTTTCGTAGACTCCTTCCACAAGGGGTTTTATAACTCACATGGAGTGCTGAAGAATGAGAGTTTGTCTTTGCATGTCGTCTTTGGAAGTGGCATTTGATTGGTAGCTGCAGAGGGTTTTCTCCCTTGAAGGTCAGGGGTGTTTTCATCAGACAAGTTCGAGAGCAGTCATGACTTTGGTAAGGTAGATTAAAAAATGATTTCTTTTCTCTAATGTAGGCAACTTTATTTTCCAAAGGAGGAATCTCCTTATTTTTTGCAGATCTGCTTAAAATTAAGAATTCATTAGTATCTCAACATATACAATTCCCCATTTTTAAAAAACACTGCACACTAATGTGTAAATTAGTTCCCAATAATTTCTTTCTAGACATCACTAAAGCCAGACTCTGAAATAAGCATTTTACTTATTATATTCTATAACCATATAAAAGTCATACTTTAAAGGATTTTTTTTCCCCTCTGGACACCAAAAACATGGTGTTTTTCTCCTAGTTCCACATCTTCAACTGGGTGCCCAATAATTCAGTTCAATTCTGACACTACCTACCTGGAGTTAGCATCAGATATGAGAAGTTAAAAGGTCTCATCCCACAAGACTGTCCCCACTTCACGTGTCAAACACAAGCTCCAGGCCACCCAAACTTCTGACCAACCTAGGGGTTTCCACATGCCCTCCTCAGGCTTGCGAATTTGCTAGAAAGACTCACTTTAATTACTACTACAGTAATATTACTAATTATCACTTTAATCACTATTACCAGTTTAAATAAAAGATACAACTCAGAGATGGCCAAACGTAGGGCAAGGTAAGTGCGAAAGGGCACGGAGTTGGCCTGCCACCCTCCCAGCACCTCAAAACCTTCACCAACCAGGAAGCGGACAGAAAGAACCCTGTCCACTTAGAGGTTTTTATGGAGACTTCACTATGTAAACATGATTGATTAAATCATTTGCCATTGGAGATGATCTCAATTTCCAGCCCTTCTCCCCTCCCTTCAAGCTTCTTTTTTTTTTTTTTTTTTTTTAATTTTTATTTATTTATGATAGTCACAGAGAGAGAGAGAGAGAGAGAGAGGCAGAGACACAGGCAGAGGGAGAAGCAGGCTCCATGCACCGGGAGCCCGACGTGGGATTCGATCCCGGGTCTCCAGGATCGCGCCCTGGGCCAAAGGCAGGCGCCAAACCGCTGCGCCACCCAGGGATCCCTCCCTTCAAGCTTCTAATGGAGGTTTAATCTTTGGTGACCAGCCTCCACCCTGAAACTAACTGGCAGTCCTTCACCCAAGTCATTTCATTAGCAGGTTGAAGACACACATTCTTCAGGAAACTCCACAGGTTTTAGAAGCTAAATGAAGGACCAGGACAAAGACCAAGTATTCCTCCTGTTGTACCAGAACCCAATTTCAGAATATCCCAGAAAGTTGTGATTATACCTTTAACTCTGTGCTACAGCACCTACCAAATTTAGAGTTGATTTAGAGCATGCACTTTGAGGAATGTTACTTCTTCAGGCATGTTTTTTTAATTTTTTTTGTTTGTTTTATTTATTTATGATAGGCACACAGTGAGAGAGAGAGAGGCAGAGACACAGGCAGAGGGAGAAGCAGGCTCCATACACCGGGAGCCCGACATGGGATTCGATCCTGGGTCTCCAGGATTGCGCCCTGGGCCAAAGGCAGGCGCTAAACCGCTGCGCCACCCAGGGATCCCCTTCAGGCATGTTTGGTTCAAAATTTTTGCTTGTAAGAAACAGGAAAGACTACTGAAAAAAAAAATAACTAATTCATCAAGAATCCTTCAATGGGATCTCTGGGTGGCACAGCGGTTTGGCGCCTGCCTTTGGCCCAGGGCCCGATCCTGGAGACCCGGAATCGAATCCCACGTCAGGCTCCTGGTGCATGGAGCCTGCTTCTCCCTCTGCTTGTGTCTCTGCCTCTCTCTCTCTCTGTGTGTGACTATCATAAATAAATAAAAAATTAAAAAAATTAAAAAAAAAAGAATCCTTCAATAATTATACTAACTGGACTTTTTCTGTAATATGTATTCCACGTGGCACATTGACATATATGAAAACAATGAGCTGACAGGAGAAAATGGAGAGGTTACTGATTTTAAGGAAAAAAAAACCCCATGAACTAACTCTGTTTCTGTGTGTGTCTCTCATGAATAAATAAAATCTTAAAAAAAAAAAAAAAAAGGGCAGCCCCAGTGGCACAGTGATTTGGCGCTGCCGGCCCAGGGTGTGATCCTGGAAACCCGGGATCAAGTCCCATGTCAGGCTCCCTGCATGGAGCCTGCTTTTCCCCCTGCCTGTGTCTGCCTTTCTCTCTGTCTCTCATGAATAAGGAAATAAAATCTTAAAAAAAAAAAAAATCCATGAAAAGATTCCATGTGTATAGATAGAACTTGGGTTTTAATCTTTCACAAAGTACCTAGGCTTTGTTTTACCTCATATTTTCTATCTATCTAGGTACCTGTTATTTATTTTATACAAGTTATATAGGTATTCTGGGGATATTTTTATGCTCACTATATAAAGCAGCACTATATTGATAGAAATAGTCCATATCTGTCCTGCTCAATTTGGTAGCTCCACCGGCCACATGTGGCTATTGAACACTTTTAAACATATAGTAGAACACCCAGTGCTCATCCCATCAAGTGCCCTCCTCAGTGCCCATCACTCAGTTACCCCATCCCCCTGCCCACCTCCCCTTCTGCCTCCTTTTGTTTCCTAGAATTAGGAGTCTCTCATAATTTGTCACCCTCTCTAATTTTTCCCACTCAGTTCCCCTCCTTTCCCTTATAATCCCTTTCACTATTTCTTATATCCCACATATGAGTGAAACCATATGATGTTTGTCCTTCTCCAACTGATTTATTTCATTCAGGATAATACCCTCCAGTTCCATCCACACTGAAAAAAACCCTGAATTTTAAACTAAATTTAATTTTGATCGATTCAAATTTAATTTTAATTCAAATAATTCAAACGTAAATAGTCACATTTAGCACGTGGATGCTATGCTGAATGCACAGATATGAGGTTCCCCATTCCTTTTCCAGCTATAAAGCACTCCTCTGCATAAATTCCACATTTTAGGGCAGCCCAGGCAGCTCAGCAGTTTAGCGCCACCTTCAGTCCGGGGCATGATCCTGGAGACCCGGGATTGAGTCCCGCGTTGGGCTCCCTGCATTGGAGCCTGCTTCTCCCTCTGTGTCTCTGCCTCTCTGTGTGTGTGTGTGTCTCTCATGAATAAACAAAATCTTAAAAAAAAAAAAATTCACATTTTACTAGTCTTCTACTGCTTCCAATCTTTTGCTATCACAATCATGATGTAACAAATAACTTTGTGCATAACAATTTCATACATTTAGTGTTTCACTTCGGAATAGGTTTCCAGAAGTGGGAGTCCTAGTTCACAGGTAAATGAATCAGTAATTCTGTTAAGACTGCCAAACTCTTCTCCATGGGGGTCAGCAATTTATGAGAGTGCTTGCTTTTGCAGAGCCTCATCAATGGCTCTTGATGCTTTGTAATTTCTGACAATGTAATAGATTAAAGGATGTACTATAATTATTTATAAATCTATTAACATTGAAAACATTTGTTTCCAATTTTCCAGTAGGTTACTGCTTTGATGAACATCCTCATACATAAATCCTTGACCAAATTCCTGATTACCTTAGGATACATGCCTTTAAGACAAATTACTAGGTAACAAGAATACACACTTCAAAATAATCTTATTAATAAAACTTGCATACTTAACACATAATTGTGTATTTTTTTTCATTAAAAAATCTGCTATATTGGACCACCACATACTTTTAAGGCACTCTCAGCACATGATGACTCCATCCAAACCTATGCACTAAGACAACCAAACTCTGGCAAGGCTTTTAGCAGCCTATGGCCATGTCTCTGGGAGGACCCAAGTCCCCCAGTAAAGTGCCTGCCTGCAAAAGCCCAAGGCAGTCGGCAAGTTTAAGGTTACCCCTAGCCAACACCCAAAGATGAGCCCCTCACCTTCCTTTCTTAGAGCATTTACTAAAAAGGGCTTACAATTGTGAATCTTGTCCTCCATTCTTCAAAGATGTGTATTTAATTCCTACAACCCTCAGGAGCACCTTTCTCTAGGTCCTGAAGGCCCTTCCCTTGAAAGTTAATCATCAGGAAACATAGGGCCTCTGTCTTACCATCTCTGATGGAGGATAGATTCTAACTTTGACAATTTCTGGCTAGCCCCCACAGCTGGTCTCAGAGGCATTCACATGGACTCTGTAATTTTTCACTTGGGTTCCCCTCTTCCTCTATCTCTTTTCCCTCACTCACCTTTAAAATATCAGTTACTAGGGGAGGAGGGCGGAGGGTGGGGGTGAATGGGTGACAGGCATTGAGGGGGACACTTGACGGGATGAGCACTGGGTGTTATTCTGTATGTTGGTAAATTGAACACCAATAAAAATTTATTAAAAAAAAATAAAAAATAAAAAAAATAAAGATATCAGTTACTCCAGCACAAATTGGAATGGAGCTCAGCTTTTCCTCCTCCTGTCAGTAGTTACTGAATAAAATCAGTTTTCATCACTTAATGTCTGGTGTAATCTTTGACACTTGTTACCAATCAATTTAGGCGAGGGGGAAGGGTGTTCTATATCTTCCTTTCACTTAATAGTTTTGTTATTCATTCATGATCATTGTCTAGGCCAGTGCTACTCAAGGTGTGGCGGCTGTCAGCCCCCAGTGGTTTGTTACCAATTCATAATAAGTACAAAAATATAAAGATGCAGAAGTTTATAAACTTTTACATCAGTTTAATATTGCTGCAACATCTCACTGCATTTTATAAGTGTATTCCTCCTCAATAAATTTGAAATTTAAAACAAAACACAACACCTGTTCTTAACCACCATTAGTTTGACAGCACTGGCCTAAGGCCACGGTTTCTTTGGGAATGGGGAAAGTTGTAAAGATAACAATCTTCCAATTCTACCATTTCTACTGCATTTTCTGGCTGGAATTCTTTGATAAAGAAGAAATTTTCCTCATCAACTCTTGGGTTATCTGAAATACAGTTAATATAGGAAAGAGAAGATAAATACTTGATTCTTTCTCTTTATTTACTAGAATTCAGAATGATGAGTTGTATCCCAACAACTACCACAGTCACTGATTCTTAAAATGTTATCGTGAACCCATGGATTTTTATATATTTAATGTGATTTAATCAATCACAGTGATTATTCCTTTAGATGTT